ATACTAATATGTGCAGGGTTATTTGTTACAACCATATAATCTAATTCTAACATGGGACATTGATGTGCATTCTTGAAAGAGTGAATTCAGTAAGGTTTACGTATGTGGGTGATAATAGGGAGACAGAATATGAGATTAGACAGGGTAAGGTGTGAAAGGTCTTTTCTGCCAAGTTAAACATTTTCTTTTTTTTTTGGAGAGATTTTTTTTGCTATAGGGCACGTGCACTCGCCAGACAGACAGAGAGAGACAGAGAGACAGAAAGCTAGAAATCACCCCCCAGGGGGTACAGCCACGCCACAATCCCTTCTCCTCCATTCTCCTCTTGGGATCTTGGGCACGTACACACACGCGCCCAGCATGAGTTTTAAGCCACGGGTCTGGGACGCGAACTGCAGTTGACTATATGGGAGTCCAGCGACACAGCCATTACGCCAACTGCTGGTCCCAACATTTTCTTTTCTGTTCTCTAAGTAAGAAAATTAATTCTGGTATGTTCAAGGTATGAGTAAATATCTACTTTCATTCCTGTTCACCTGATCCTATGCTAAGGAGTATCCCTTTTAAAAAACCCCTTAAATAAATGTTTTGAATTATGAGTTGTCCTGTTGAGGCAATTATTAGGCAGGTTGACAAAGTCACTCTTGACAACTTTCTGTTTTATATTATCCAAAGAAGGATGTTGTTAAAGCCTTGAATCTATAGCTTGTGATTGCCACCATATCTTGTTTGGAGAATGTTAATATATACTAAGAAGTAAAATCTGAAGCCCCCAACCCCCCCTTTTTCAGATTTGCTTGAGAGATGGAGAAACATGTTGATTGTCTGTGGCAGTAGGGAAATGGAACTGTCACATCAATTACAAAAACTGCTAAGTTGCCAGCAGGAAAAGCATTGATTCTTGGTGAGTTCAGATCTGTAATTTCAGATACTTTTGTCATCTTATTAAATGGAAAACTTTGAAAAGAAAATCACTTCTACCATTCACAACAAGCATCATCAATGGAGTCTTTAAAAGGAACTGATAAGTTGAAAATTTATTTTTGAAATGCCCTCAGTTGTTGTTAATTTTTATTTCTAGTTTAATTCTAATTTTTTCTTTGAGAAACCTGTCAGCTCATTAGATTCTAGCAGAACACAGTATAACCACATAGTTCTTTGAAAGTTCATTTTACTCTTTGGCTTAGTAACAGTGGTTCAGAACTGTGCATGTCATTATTTCCATAAATAAAGCAGTTATTTCTATTAACAGTTAATTTCTGGGCATATTTCTGTCTAATCTTTCAGCTGTCTTCACTAAGACTATTTGTTTTTTTATGAAGTAGAAGACAAGATATTTAGAAATTTTGGAAAATCTTTGCTTGACACAGACCAGAACAAACTGTTCCAAAGTCAGTACAAAGGGGTCTCTGGGAAGTAACAAGAAGGATGGTTAATAGGGTAGACAGAGGGATGAAAAGACAAGAAAGGTAAAGACTGGCAGACCCTGTTTATCAAATATTTTTACATCTTCTGCCTGCCACATTTATCTATTCAACAATCTCCCTTCCTACTGCTAATAACCAGGCTTTAAGGGTTCTAATGACACTGAAATGTTCAGAAGTTGTAGATTTGTTGTTTAGAGATTTTTTTACTGGAAAGTGGCATGCTCTGACCATTCCTCTTCCCTTTTCCAGAAAACAGAGAAAAACTGTATTTGAGCCTCCCTTGAAGTTAGCTATGGTCATGTAACTGGGTCTGGCTAATGGTGTGTCAGTGGGGCTAAAATACTTCCTTTTGACTGCCGTAACAATCTTTTTTTTTTTAAATTTTTTATTTAACTTTTTTATACATTTAATTACCTTTTTTAGCTTACATAGTGAATATTTCACTATGTGAACATTTTTCCATAGTCCAGTTGGTTAAACTATAAAATATCTTCAAGAGATAATATCACATTTCTTTGTCTCATTAATGCTTTGCCTCCCTATTTTTCTTCTAAATGTCCTTCCTCAGGCCCTATTCTTCCACACATACTATATCTGGTATTTACACCCATTTATTGTCTTTGTATATCTTTTAGTCAATCAGTGTCAGTCATAAAGTGTGGACACTTGGTATATATTAAGTGGGGACATACAATGTGTCTCTTTCATATCGTTGCTTGCTTCACTTAGCAGTAAATCTCCCATATTCTTCTACTTTCTGTCAAAAGCCAGGGTTTTTTGTTTTTTTTTTTAATGGCTGAATAGTATTCCATAGAGTGTATGTGCCACAGTTTTTCAATCCATTCATCTGTTCAGGGGCATTTGTTTTGGTTCCATGTCTTAGCAATTGTGAATAGTGCCACAATAAACATTGATGTGCAAGCACTTTTCCAATGAAGAATTCTTCTGTCCTTTGGGTAGATACCAAGGAGTGAGATTGCTGGATCATATGGTAGTTCTATTTGTAGATTTCGGAGGAATCTCCAAATTGTTCTCCACAGTGGCTGGACTAAATTTCATTTCC